GGTGGCAGCCTGGAGCCTGCACCCAGAGGGGTGGGGGCAGTGCAGAGCTTGGCTGGACAGGGTGTGGGTGTGAGGGAGTGTGGGGAGGTACGGGGACCCCTCCCACACTCCTGCTATGGCAAGCAGTCCTGGCAAGCAGTGGGGGCAGCAGCAGCAGCAGCGCTCATGCTCGGCACTGGTGCCTGGCTGTGCCAGCGTTGCACATCATGGCGAGAAGCACAGCCTGTCTGTAATCATGGGTGCTCCCTGCACTTGTGCAGCACAGGAGGGAAGCCCCAGGTGCGGGAGGGAAGCCCCAGGCTCTGGAGCTGGCTGGGGCAGGGAAGGCAGCCCCCACGAGTGCCTGGAGCGCCAGTGATAGAGACTGCCTGGCGGGGGCTGCACTTTTCACTGTGATGTGCAGCACTGGCCAGAGTCAGGCACCAGTGCCCCCGCCTGCTGCTGCGCCATGGGAGGAGTGTGAGGGGGTCCCACTCCCCTCCCACCTTCCCTCAAACCCCACAGACACCACCCCCTCCGCAGTGTTACCTGAGTTGACTACAGGAAAAGACAGTGTGTTCCAAAGCCACCCCCCAGACCCCACAAACACTGCACAATTCCCAACATACCCTATGCCCCCACAACACACAGCCACACCCCCTCACAGACTTTCCCCACACCCTACCACACCCCCCCACACACACCTACACCCACACAATATAAAACTAATACGAGTTTATTTTTGAGGTATTATGCAATCACCTCTATATACACTACACAAACACAAATCATGACAAAAATATTTTTTGTAATAAAATTAAAATATGTTATAGTAGGTGTTTGACTTCTAGTGTATGATTTGGTTTTTTCTGGTTCTAAGATGGCAACCCCCACCTCCCAAAAGGAGTATTTCTGGGGGGGCAAGAGGAGGGACTTCCAGTGGCAAAGGCCAGGGGTTAGGGGGTGGGACTTCTGGTCCCAAGGTGGTGACCAGGGGACAGGGCAGCTATCAAGGGGTGGGGCTACCCTTGCAGCCCTCAACAGCTCACCAAACCTCATTAATTGGCCCTCTACCTGAAGTCATTTCCTCCCCCTGGCATAAGGCCTCTCTCATATCTTATGCTACACAGTAAAAGCTCCGTGCCTTAATAACCATTAACAAAATTCCAAGCATTTTTTAAGTTAAATGTGTAGGACATGTCTGAAATACCCAGTATTTAGAACAGTGGTCCGTCTTACAAACATGACCCTTAACTGACTTAATTTATGTTCATGGTCTTAATGTTTACATACTTTTGAGTATGTAATTGTCTTCTCCTTTTTTGATAGCCTCAGTAATAACCACATCTCTGTTGATGGCATTTGCTGTGTGTTGAATTCAATGAACACCTGCTTGAATTTGGTGGAGATAGAAGCCAGGTATGCAGAATTAGATCAGTAAATTATACTCAGCTGACCTATCTGTCTGTCGAAGGTTCTTGTCTGGCCCCAGGTCTGAATATCTCACAAACTTTAATATATTCATCTACATAAGACCAGCTCTAAAAGTAGGCAGTAGGGACTAAATGTTCATATCTAAATTTTACAGCTCTGTGTATTTCTATCAAGTTAAAGTAGCAGCGTTGTAGTGTTCTTGTATCCTTGATGGCGCAGAGAAGATGGGAGAAGCAAGATTTGGTTGGTAATGTCTTCTGGTAACTTCTCTTTGCTCCACAGGTTTACTGACACTTTACTTCTTAAGTGACCACTTTTATGTACTTAATGAGGTTGAACAAATTGTTCTACCCGGTATTTAGTTTAGGCTGCAACTACTTTTTTCCCAGACCCCAGGAAGGGCATTTTGTACCCCAAAACTAGTTTAACTCCTCTCCCAACTAATAGTTGATCAAGTAAAAGATATCCCTCCCCCAAAAACCATGTCTCTAGCTAAACACAGTTTTTAATAGTAGTCATTAATCATCAGCAACTTTTTACAGTAAAACTCCCAAGTGACTGGGTTGAAAATCAGGTATGATAGCTGAATTTCAAATGACCTAACAGCAACTTTAGCCATTTTTTAAGGAATTTGAGAAGGCAATTCTAACGGGTTTGGCTGAATTGGTGGTAGCACTTTAGGGTTTCTTCTCTTGAGATTCTCCTGAGTCAAGCTCCTGGTTTTTTTCTAGTACAGTAATTTTGACAGAATCACTTCCTTGAGAGTGTTCCTACACTATTCATCTGAACATGGATTGTTAGACACAAATAGTATGAAGAGCCAGTTGAGATGGTTGATTATTTTGGGTAATATTTTCATTGCTTTTGTAAGAATATTGTCACCAAATGGTTCTGAAAAGATCTATATAAAAATCAAGAATTAGTAAAACATGAATTAGTGACAATAGGTGAATACAGTGTGGAATCATCTTTCATCTTTTCTTCCTTACACAGCCTTCACCATCAGACTGCAATCCTGAAGTTTGAAGGAGCTGAAGCATTTGCCTCTACCCAATCTAGGTACAGAACATAGGGACAGATGGTTTTTGGAGTGGAGGGGTGTACTGCTCCATGACAGCATCTGTTGTGAGTCAGAGCACAGCTGCTATATAACATTTTTTTTTCTAGCATTCACTTTCATTTCCTGTTTTTGTACAAGCTGGAATGAAGCTGAACATACAATTGAGTTGATCAGTGGGGTGCACTGCCTATCCTGGTAATTTCACCTATCTGCCTCTCCTGCTCACTCTAACCATGGTGTTTCCTCATATCCCAACCAATTTTGAAAATTCTCTTTTAGATTTCCTATACTCTGATTACAATGTCTAATATCTCTGCAACATATTTCATACCACAGGACCTCCAATATAGCAGACTTTGCTGTGACAATGTCATCATCATAGCAACTGTATAACAGCATGCAGTTTAGGTCGGAAATTACCAGCCACTCTTACAGGGGTTGAGGTTGTAGCTGTGTTGATTTAAAGACATAGGCAGACAAGGTTCTTTGGGTGAATCTGATATCTTTTATTAGACCAACTTAAATAGTTGGAAAACAATTTTTAAGCAAGCTTTCGGGTTCAAAAACCCTTCATCAGGCTAAGGAAGTTTCAGCAGTTGGTGTGTGCTCTTTCTGGATGGAAAGAAAAGTAAAGAAGCCAGAGGGTGGGCTGGTATGCATACAAGATAGGCAGTCAGTGAAGATGTAGATTGAGGAGTCAATGGGTGAGAGACAGGGCGGGGGTTAGGGGAGGGGGGTAGAGAAGAGGGATGAATAGTGGAGAAGTACTTGGGGAGTCAGATATCAGGCAGGTTATAATGTGTCATAAATCCAATGTCTATATTTAGTCCATGATTTTTAGTATCCAGGAGGTTGATGAAGAAGTTGATGGAGGTTCATAGGCTTGTCTCTGGGAAGTGTTTTGTAAATTTTCTTTGAGGATTAGGACTGAGAGATTGGAGAGAGAGTGGTTTTCTTGTGAGAAATGTGCCCCCGCAGGTAATTGGGTATTCCCATCTTTGATAGATTTCCGGTGTGCATTCATTCTGGTGTGCAGTTGTTGTTTGATCTCTCCTACGTATTTTCCATCAGGGCATTTGATGCATTGGATGAGAGATGTATTACATTTCTGGAGGTGCAGCTGTAAGATCCAGGAATGCTGATGCCTCTGTTGTGGGGTGTAGTAATAGTGGGGGTGGTGGAGATGTGTTGGCAAGTTTTGCATTTCTTGTCATGGCACGGTCTGGATCCATTTGGTGTGTTCTGGGCCTGACAAAGTTTCCTTCTGGTGATGAGGTTAGCAAGGTTCGGTGCTTGTTTGAAGGCTAGGATGAGTGGCTCTGGGAAGATCTCTCATCAATCTTAAAAAGGCTTTCACCCAACAGGACACTCCTCCAGAGAAATAGATTGCACGTTTGAAAGAGCCACCTGGATACCATGTGAAGAACTGCTGCGGTACAGAAGAAACCCCCCCACAAATCACACACCATTGATTATGACATATCACCCCTCCCTCGAACCCGTATGGAAAATCCTCAAACAATTGCAACCCATACTAGAAAGAGACCCTATTCTTAAAGAGAACTTCCCAGAGCTACCCATCCTAGCCTTCAAACAAGCACCTAACCTTGTCTGCCTACAACCAACCACTCTTACTGCATTTATTTGGTTAACTGCAGGAATGAAGAAGAGACTAGTGTTAGACAAGAGTAGAGGAATGGTGTGGACAGAGGTAGGGCCTTCAGAGTCTATCAGAGTGGCAGGTAGTTCTATAGGAAGTTCTATAAACATGGGAAGCCATATCTCTGATAATCCAGTAATTTGTTCCTGCTTTTTCTGGGGCCTTCTTATGAAAGGGCTGCTTTTTCCAATGTTAGTTATTTCTGCCCAAGTTCTTAACTTGTTCTCTGTAGTTTCCCTTTTGCTTTGTTAAAAAAAAAGTTCATGCTCATATTCAATAATGTGTGTTGTTACAGGGATACTTCCTCTTATGGTGATCAGTTGGGTGGGAATGAAAGCCAGAAGCCTATGGTCCCTAGAAGAATAAGGTAAGATAATGATGCTTTCCATGGGTGTTCACAGACTATTTATCTACAGCTGATTTGTATTTCTGTTGTGAGCCCAAATGATGAGTAACACTGACTAGGCTGTTGAAGGAAGTGTCATTCCCCATTAAAGAGCCATACTGGTGCCTCTGGTTAGGGCTTGTGTTTCCTTGCAAGAACTTTGTCCAGTTCCTTCACATAAAGTCTCATTCACCAAATAGCTCTGGTGACCATCATGTTAGTACTTTAGGGTGCCTAAACACAAGCTTTGAGGCTGCTATGACACGCTGTAATAACAGTGCATCAGAACAGACTTGATTAATTGAGGATGTGGTAATTACCGCATTCCAGCAGCCTTACATATCAGTGTCCCTGCACTTCAAAATAGCGGCAGGGTGCTTGATCTAAAGCTTGTTCAGTGAGCTTTAGTTTAAGCGCCTCCGCCTCCATTTTTAAGTATGGGGATGCTGATACACAAGACACTGCAGTGCTTTGATTAGAGCAGCTCTTAAAGCAGCTCTCAGAGCTGCTCTAATTAAAGCACTGCCCCCGCCACCCCAGAGCATGTGTAAAAATGCCCTTAGTTACCATGTCAGAGAGCTAATTTTGAGTGACTGAGCTGGTTGGCTACTGGTGTTCTGGGACATGCATGGCAATAAGTTCCCGAACTCAACCCTGGGCTTGGATCTAATTCAAATTATATTAACCCATACAGTTCAAAATACCCTCATATCTCTGGTAGGCTGTAGAAAGGAAGGATGGAACTGCGACTGAAAAACTTATTCACAACTTCAGAGATGTGGGTTCAATGTCTTCATCTGCCACAGACTCCATGAATGAAATGTTTATGATTTTTAAGGCAATCTCCTGATTTTGAGGGGGAGGGGGGGAGGGGCAGGGAAGGAAATAAACTCACAATGTTTGAATGCTTGAGGTTGGCAATTCTGTACATGGCTATTTGGTTTCCTTTTCAGAGTGACAGACAGTCATTTTCCCAGGAACGATCTGGAGAAGTTGTGCACTGTATTGAAGCACTGTAGCAGAGTAACAGCCCTAGAGTGAGTCATTTTCTATTCTGTTTGGTACTTGGGAATCTTGTTTATAACAGCATTTTTAGAGCATCAGCATAGAGGTTCCTGAGTCTACTGCAAACAAACTAGTTTGGGGACTGAAAGCAGGCTGGCCCCAGCAATACAGTGGGCTAGCTTGGCCTGTACAGAACAGCTGTAACTCCTGTAAGTGGGTCAGGAATCAGGCTCCTGGGTACTAAATTGGATCTGAGTTAAAGTTAAATGCTTCAGTTCCCCTAACTCAGTGGTGAGCAAAGTCATGGGCCAGATTAGGCCCACAGCAGACTTCATTACTGAGCAGCCCCTACCCCTGTTGCTGCAGCTGGTTTTCATGGAGACCACAGGAATGGTAGCGCTGTGACAGCATGGGGCTGGGGTTTCCATGGAAACTGACCCCAGCAGCACTGGCAGGGTGCATGGCTGGGTGGGGAGCCACTCCAGGGCTGAGATCTTGCAGCAGTGACAATGTGGTCTGGAGCCGGGGCAGAGCTGCAATCTGCTGGGTATGTGGGCAGTAGATTGTGGACTGTTCCCCAGCTCCGGACCACGCTGTCACCAGTACTAGATCCTGGCCCCAGCCCCAGAGCAGCTCCCTGCCCAGCCGCATGCCCTGACAGTGCTGCTGGGGCTGGTCTCTATAGAAATCCAGGCCCCAATGCTCCTGGGGTCTCCATGGAAACTGGCCACAGCAAAATGGGTGGGGGTGCTGGGAAATGGACTCTGGCCACCAGCTGGATCCACCATTTTGCCTACTCCTGCCCTAACTGGTCAAACTCTCCCCAAACAAGAAGGGAAGCAGGATGGATGATCTACTTTCTGTCTGGATTGCTCTTAGAGAAGGCCACTGTTCTGGTTCTGAGGGTTTGACACTAAAGGATTGGATCATTCATAGTATTTTCTTTACTGAATAATACATATTTTCTTTTAAATCCTAGTCTGGCAAATAATTCTCTAGGAGACCAGGGAGTTGAGAAGCTGGTTCAGTTCCTTCCACAGCTGAAAACACTAAGTTCACTAGGGTAAGCGATTGTTCTTCATGAAGTAACTTGCTCACAGTATTTGGACAGCTCTTTCTTTTTACCTGGGCTGGCTTCCACAGGAGTATTGATCATGGGGAGGGACTATAAGTTGTCTTGGGTTTGGGCCAAGATCAAATGTAGCACATCCTATTATATCCTTCATTTGTGCATTCATTGATCTAATGAGTTTTTTCTCACCTCCATGTACCCTGACACAGCAGATGTAAGGGGACACATTGATCACAATTGAAATCCATTAATATCAGAATTAGACTGGTGATAATGGAAAGCAGAATTTGATCTTAACTAATTAGCGGTTTCTAAATGCTAGTTGTGTTTTTGCCATAGTCAAGTAACAGCTTATGTTTTGGCAGAGAGCTAAACACTGAGTCCATTGCAGAGGCTGCTAACCTGTGTTAATGTGCTGAACCACAAGTCAAAAAGTATCCGGCTTCAGTTTCTGCCACAGACTTGATGCATGACTTTGGGCGAGACACTAGGCTCTCTGCCTCTGTTCTCTGTAAAATAGGAGTAATGATACTTCCCTAATTATGTGGGCTCTTTGAAGGATGCATCTATAAACAGTTCCTATCTGCTCAACAACTGCAGTAGTGCAGTCTTCCTGGGTAGAGAAGATAGGTTAAAGAAGGGTAGGGAGATAATAGCCATATACCAGAAGAGTCCTAAGGCAGCTTATCTTTATCCAACACACTTGCATGTCACCCAGTACTCCCATTTTTAATGCTGTATGCAGGATATGGTTGCTTTTGATGTAAAAGACAGCCCTCTATTTTATTTTATTTCTACCTGTAACAAGTGGGTGTCCCAGGGCTGGTCTGATCATTGACCTGCCCTCTCATCTTAGGGCTAAATGCCTGCCTTCCTTGTCTGCCACACCTTTATGTTAATGATTACAAGATGTCGGCAGGTGGGAGGCTGCCCATTTACCTGCCCTGGTGACAAGGGCCTATGTACATGACTCCAACCACTCCTTACTGTGTCCCATGCCTCACAGATGTTTCTCCAGTGCCTCACACTAGAACCCGAGCTCCAGAGTCTTGCACAGGATCCTCACCAGAGCTCATGGTCCCAGCACCTTCACACTGGGTTCTTTCTTTACTCACCCTCTGGGCTCCAAGCCTCCTCTGGGTCCCAGGCCTCACCCTGGAATCCAAGCCCCACACACTGGGTCTCCAAGCCCACATTATGGGTTCAAGGCTCCAAGCACCATCCCCCTGCCCTCCCTGGGCTATAACCCTTATCCCTTTGCCCAGGAGCTTCAACAATAGCTCCCCGCAGGCTCAGGGCCCTACACCCCTGGAGCCTCACTCCCAGCTTCCTAGTGCAGCCTCAGACTCGACTGTGAGTCTGGGCTCCCCCTGTTTGATCTACTACCCACCAGGGATATGGGGGTTGGGGTTATAAGGTGCCCCATACTTGCCTTTCACTGGGGAGGCAACTGACCTGACATTTTGAAGGACTACCCCACCATGGGCAGCCCCACCAGGCCATCCTTCACCAGCAGGGTGCAGTTTTTGTTGTACCCAGGAACAATTCCTCCCTTACCTCCAAGGTGTTGAGCAGCAGCTCAACCAGTGGTGTCTCTCCAGCTGCTGGCAGCAGACTGCTGCCTTTGCTGTTCAGGGCCCAGCTCTTATAAGGAACAGCTGGGTTCTTTTCCCAATCAGGCATCCCTGCCTAATTGGAATTGCAGCCAGCTGTAGGCTGCCTTGCTGCTGCCACCACATCCCCTTCAGTAACAGAGCACACCAATGCTCTGTTCCACTATCAGAGTATAGATTACATATAGAATCAAACTATGTAATATTTTCAACTGAATGAAGGCACCATAGAATCTCTGGGGGCAGGGGGGCGGCGCTTTAAGTAGAGTGGTGCTCTCCCCGTCTTATGTATCAGTATCCCTATGCTTAAAAATGGTGGTAGGGGCTCTTGAACGAAAGTTCATTGAATGATTAATTGAGTCTGCTCCGACAGTGCCTCTGTGCTCATGTATAGGTGCCCTCTATGACTAGAAATTCCAAGCTTACATAAAGAGATTAGGACTGTGCTTATTAGGACTGTGTTTATGACCACCTGATCAAGATCAGGATAGCAAAAGTGACAAAGAAATGCTAAAGGAAATTAGAGATACTATAAGAGTAGGATACACTATATTAATGAATTATCTTGAATTATCTTCATTGACTCGGTCAATTTCTCATCTTGAATTATCTTCATTGATTGGCTCAGTGTCTCCTCAGGGTGTGATGCAGATCCAAAATGTCTAGACATTATAAATGACTGCTTTTTGGACACCTAGTTCTGGAAGCCACTCTTGATTTAGTTCCAAGTTCCAGCTACCAAGCTACTCACTCACAGTGGATGGGGGTCCTTTACACCTATTTTGACTAATATTCTGTTTTACTGAGTTACATGTTCAGAGATAGAAAAGAATACTCAGTTCTATCTCCAGCCCTTACACTACTAGCTCTTTAGACCAAAGATTCTCTCTACTGTTACTTTTAACCTTGTATAAATCACTGACACCAGTGATCATTTAATCCTGTGATCATAATGGCTTTATTCTGTGTCTTCTTCTCCTAGGCTAAGCGGTAATCAGATCTCCCTAAGTACTGTGTTTTGCTTAGCTCAAGCCTTGTCTTTACTGGAACACATTAAAACAGTAGACATCAGGTACGTTCAGAGTGCTCTTTCTGAGGTTTCCCATCAATAATACTGTTTGGGATGAGGGGCATTTTTCTTCAGTCCACAAGATGCAAGCACTTTTCTTCTGACTACACATTCATTGTGTTCTCTTTTGGTTACAGTTTGGGAAAAGCTCAGCTCATCCTTCTTACGTTTCAGGAAGGTGTCAGGTAAAGAACATGGCCTCCTCTCTGTCTGAGCCTTTCAAGTATTCCCAGTTACCTGCTGTTGCAGAGGCCTACAGCATTTATTTATTTATTAGATTTCTATGCTGACCTATACAAAGCAGTGGCATTTTTGTATCTCTCCTGCTCTTCTGTAGTGGCTCATAATAAGGATTTTAGTTTATTATGGGGGGCTTTGTGGCTGTGGTGTGCAAGAGAAGTTGAAGTGCATGTTCTTATGGAGAAATATTTCTTACATGGATGTCTGTGATTTCAAGGGACTGGACTTTGTAGTCCAGGGGTCCCTTTCTAGTGCTGTATTCATAAGTGCACCATCACCACAATGTTTACATGGCCACTTTGCAATTGCTTAAGCTCAAAAGGCAATCAGAGAAAGGATCTTATAGGATGCCAGATGGGAATGGTAGAAGTAAGGAGATGCAGCAGCATCATGGTGAGGGGAGAGTGGCAATGACTTGAGTGGATGAGGTGGCAGGTGGTGATAGGGATTGCAGTCCATTAGTCCATTTCCTCCTGGGCAGCCACTCAACCAGTTGGCAAGACCACCTGATGGATGCTAGGCATTGTACAAATCATGGAGTGCTGTGGGTCTTCATTTCTATGGGCACATGGGTCCTCTGAATGCTGTGGAACACTCTGTACAACAAGGGGAATCATCCACACATACTCAATATAGTATCAGCCCTGCTGGCATGGTAAAAGGTGAATTCTTTCCCCAGGGTCAGAAACACCAGAAGATCTGCAGGAAAGTCTCTGGCTCTACCACAACCTTCAGGGAGTGGCCGTTGCTTTCGGTAAGGTGGTTTTCTTCTCTGGCTCCATTCTTCACTCAGAAATATCAGAAGGGCAGTGTGTTATCATTGTTTCACAGCATTTCAACCTTCAGAGAGCATCCCCCTAGTCCCTATCCTCATTTAAGGTTGGGTGACAGATTCTCCTTTCCATTGAAAAGCCTGTCTCCTATGTCTGTGGGTCACCAGCTACAGCTAGCAGTGGAGAAGGAAGGTGGGGAGTTCAGAGGGGCCACAGATTACAGGTATTGAGGGTTCCTCCAGTGATACCTTTCAGTAAGCGGCTTCCTGCTGGGGTCACCTCCTTCCTCGATCCCCCAGCACTGATATGAAAAGCAGTATGGATATCAATCCCAGAGTGGCTTAGATGCCATTTCGCAAGTTAAAATATTTGTGATTTGAGATAAGTCCTGGATTCTTGCATTTTGGCATAGCCCCACTGATACTGATTTACAAAACATGATGACCAGACCTATGGGTTATTACATTATTTCACCCCTCACACAGAACAAATCATAATTCTGTGAATTGGTCCACTAAGAATATGCTATAGTCTGCTATTTAGACAGGGTCTTGGCTTTGCTATTGGAGAGATCTTGTTTGTTTTTAATAAGATAAGAGGGCCTGATTGCCTGCATCTTGGAAAAGCACTTACACCCATGCAAAGTGAGAATCACACTCGTGTTTTGCCTGCTCTTTGCTCTCGCTTAACCCACATATAAATGACTATACAGAGTACAAGGCATTAAAGGACCAGGCTGGCTAAGGAGATAGCCTTGGAATGGCCCACGTTTAGCGAAAAGGAGTTCCTTCCCCACAATGCCATACCTCTTTCTTCCCTCCCTGTTTGTGTGAGTGGGAGTCCCACTCAGAGACAGAGTAACATTTCAAGCCCTGTTTAGAGTGGACTGATCAGATGTTTTATACAGGGAAAGCACGTTTCAGTTTCCAAAGGAATTCTTATTGCCAAAGCTGCCTCTTCAGGAAGACATCTCACAAAATAATGTTTCTTTGGGGCTAGATCCTGGTTCCTGAGATGCCTTGAAACATGAGGCTTTAAGATGTAAATGGTGTTGCCCATGCTGTCAGTGTTGTCAGCCTTTGCATTCTGATTGTTTTGTTTGCCTCAGTCTCAGGGAATGTATGGTGGGTCCAGAGGACATGGACAAGCTGTGTCAGATCCTGGCAGGATGTACTGAGCTGTCAGAAATTGAGTAAGTGCTGCTGTGCAGTGTGAAAAATTTGTCCACATGTCTGTCTATCTCATTGTCATATAGGATAAAAACTACAAATAGAAAACCAATGGGCCAGATTCCCAGCAGCGCTGTATTTATTTTGCCAATGGAGCTGTACCCATTTATACCAGCTGATGCAATACCCTTGATTAATCAGGCTTAGTGCTGGTGGAGCATCTATGGATCAGAGAGGTGAAATCCACTCTTTCAACCCAGAGTCACAGTGTGGGATCACAGAACCTCCTCCTTGACTAGGGTTGCTGTCCCAGTAGGCCTCAGCCCCTCAGTGCCAGTTGCATGGACTTTATGAGGCCCCTGATAACTGTCTTTGGCCTTCTATAATGCACTTGTATGTAAATCCAAGAGAACATACATTGGGCTGACACCACCTTCTATTTCCATACCCTGTGTAGATTTTTGGGGCCAAGAAGAGTCTGTTCTCATCTATGTCTGGATACCCTGGCCTCCAAAGACGCTTTCCCTGTAATCTGTGCATCAGACCCATACAGAAACTATGAAACTAATGATCTAGTGGTCTCTTATGATTTATCCACCTATGTCCATTTTGAAACAGTTTTCCTAAGTAGTTTTTGTTCATGGAAAGGGACAGTTTCCATATTTGAATTGCTAACCTTTCAAGGCAAATGTTTCTTTGCCGAGTATTTTCCTTTAACACAAATGTCGTTTTTAAAATTGTGCGCTAGCCATGGACCTTACAAGTTGTTCTGAATCTTCATGCAGTGTGTTCTCTCCCTTGCTCTGCAGTTTGTCTAAAAATGCACTGAATGATCAAAGCATCCAAAGATTGCTAACGTTTCTACCATGTCTGCATAGACTGAATCTACTGAGGTAAGATCTGGGGCCATTGTCATGAGATAGGACTTTAGAGTTAGAGGGGATTTCAGGGGTCATCTAGTCTAACCCCCCAGGACAGATGTAAAATGAGCTCTTCCTGAGTATTGTGAAAGCTGCGATACTGCAGTGTGTCCTGGCAGCACTAACAGATCATCCTATCATTCTACATCAATACCTGCAAAGGGCCAAAATCAGAAATTCCTGGAAGCTCTTCACCACAATTTCTCTCCTATTTTTAGAACCAAACTTGAACTGAACCTTTATTGTTAAGATATTGAACTGTTTGGATGTTTTTCCTTTTCCCACGCACTCGAGGTATCTGAGTGTAAAAAGGCCCCAAATCCTGAAATGCTACAAGAAAAGCCGTTCTTCTGGCATTTACACCTTAAGGAAAAGTGCTGGACATATCAAGAAAAAGCAAGCTTTTTAAATGGTTTCCTGCTCACTTAAATTGTCTAGTTTGGATAAGCTTTGGGGCTTGATCTGATGCTTTTTGATAATGTCAGGAATCTCCCCATTAAACTAAGTAGGCTTTTGCCTTAGGTGTCCCTGTGCATATTTAGAAAACAGCACAAGCTCTGAACCTTTTTAGATCAGCTTTTCACTAAGTATATGTAAGAAAATAGGGCCAATGATCTGGAAATTAAGTGTTCCTTAATCCTAATCCATGCAGCCCTGCCAAACTAAATGTACCTGATCTTGTTTGATTTTGGAAGCTAAGCAGACCTAGGTTTGGCTACCACTTGCATGGGAGACCACTTTAGAATCCCAGCAACTCTAGATACAAGCCAAGGAGTTGTGGTCAAGCACTTTTTGAATAGTGGACCACAGAAATGTAACGAGTAGCAAGACTTTGTTCAGGCCCATGATGGTTGCTGCATTGATGGACGAGAATAAAAGGAAGCAATCTATCCAGGCTCTGACACTGAACTGCCATATAGCCTAGGAAGAAGTCAGTTTCCAGAAATACAGATGGGCATACTTTCAAATAATTTGTGCACACAGCTACTTTTCTGCCTTAACTGGGTATCTGCATGTACTGGGCTGGCACCTGATTTGCAAATGCAGTCAGGAAAAAAAGGCATGTAGAAACAGGGACCTATTCACCATTTCATTGGTCTAGCTTTACAGAGGTGAAGTTACACCAGCCAAAAACTGGAGCATAGCAATGGTGAATCAGGTTGTTCAAATGCAAGGTGTTCAGTAGCATGGCTACCTTTTTTGAAAACGAGGCTTTAACTTCTTTGCATTTCAGCTTGTTTAAATGAAACTGATTTCTTTTCTCCCCATCAGTATTAGAAATAACAAGTTATCACCACGTTGCACTCTCTTACTGGCCAACTCCATTAATCTATGTCAGCGAATCAGAGAGGTAGAAGTCAGGTAAGGAAATGAAACCTCTTTGTTCCCTGCAACACAGCTGTTATTGAATTCCTATGAGTGGATTTCAAGGTTTGCCCTTTAAGAAGAGTGTAGTAGTGGCTGAAGACTGTCTTTGCTTATGTTTAATGTAGGTGCAGTGAAAATGCCTTTTTGTGCCTAGCAAAGAATATGAAAATCCAAGAAATATCCTGCAGGTAGGTACATATAATATTTCTTTATAATTTCACTTCTTTTGAATGAATTGAAAATGTTAGCATTTGTTAAAAAACTACCAAAATCAAATGTAACAAAATAACACAAAATCAAATGTAAAAATGTCCAGCACACCTACAGCCTAGGGAATGACCTGCTGGGTGACACGGAAGTGGAAAGGGATCTTGGAGTCCTAGTGGACTCCAAGATGAACATGAGTCGGCAGTGTGACGAAGCCATCAAAAAAGCTAATGGCACTTTATCGTGCATCAGCAGATGCATGACGAATAGATCCAAGGAGGTGATACTTCCCCTCTATCGGGCGCTGGTCAGACCGCAGTTGGAGTACTGCGTGCAATTCTGGGCGCCGCACTTCAAGAGGGATGCGGATAACCTGGAGAGGGTTCAGAGAAGGGCCACTCGTATGGTTAAGGGCCTACAGACCAAGCCCTACGAGGAGAGACTAGAGAAACTGGACCTCTTCAGCCTCCACAAGAGAAGGTTGAGAGGCGACCTTGTGGCTGCCTATAAGTTCATCACGGGGGCACAGAAGGGAATTGGTGAGTATTTATTCACCAAGGCGCCCCCGGGGTTTACAAGAAATAATGGCCACAAGATAGCAGAGAGCAGATTTAGATTGGACATTAGGAAGAACTTCTTCACAGTTCGAGTGGCCAAGGTCTGGCTTTCCTGCTTATGCAGGGGGTTGGACTCGATGATCTATTGAGGTCCCTTCCGACCCTAACATCTATGAATCTATGAACACATGGCTCAGATTTGTATTATTTATAATGAAATCTTAGTTTTTTTTAACATCCTAAATATGCTCCTGCAGTTGTAAGGATAGTGTCAAACATCTATGCCATGTTGGACAAAAGCTCTGGATTCACTGCAAGTAGCTGCACTTCTTGATGACCTGGTCTTTTAGCAAGTAGAGCAAGGAGCTCTTGGGGTTTGTTTGCAGTTCTGTCAGTGACTCCTACAACCATGGCCAAATAACTAGCAGCTGCATTTTAAAGTGTCTCCAAGTCTGGATGCTCAATATGAGTAACTTTGTGTGTGATATTCAAGAGTACTGAAGGTCCATAACCTCCACTTACGTTAATGTAAGTTGTGGGTGCTTAATATGTCTACAAATTAAACCCCAAAATGTCTCAGCTTGGGCATCCAGAAATCAGTAACCAGCTTTGAAAATGTGGATTTTTCTCTCTGTAACTCAGTTTCTTCCCTTGAAACACAGAGATAATCATTACCAACCTCACAGAGATGTTGTGAGGTTTCGTATTTGGAAAGATCCAGCAGACTCCTGGAAAGAAGATCAACTAGGGATTCATAGCTTTCAATATGGAGGCTAAATCACTGTGAGGGAGTATATCTAAATCTATCTTTGATTACTTTTCTGTCTCATTTGGCTATCTTTAAACAGGCTGACCAGTTGCAGCATTGGACCAAATGAGATACAGGATCTCTGCAAAATCCTTGAACAATGTGACCATCTTGCAGAACTGGAGTGAGTGGGTTTTGAATTTTTAGCATCACCCTGAATAGAAGATGTACAGAGCTGGTGAGAGAAAGCTCACCATGCATTGATGAGCCTCATCTATTAATTATGGATACATACAGTATCTCATCACATGAAAAAAGAGATAGAGAATGAGGGAACACAAGATGACTACTCAGGGGTTGGATCAGGTAGAGAAGTGATACTGCCCAAGTAAAACCTGAAGAGCCATTCTATTATGCTACAGAGTCACAGAGGGCTACAAGGTAGTTACAGATATGTGTACATCCACTGAGTACTTGAGGCCACCAGCCTCAAGCAAGAGAGAGTATCAAACTGGGGATGGCACAAGTAGAAGCAATGCAAACTTTATTTATGCTACCTTACTGAAGTATTAAAACCCAGATGTGGAGGGACAACATACCTTGCTCCAGCCCCCATTGCTCCATCCATGATAAACTGGAGAATTCTATAGCTCTCAAGGGAGATGCAGAGTCCACAGAAAGAGTTTGACTCTACCATTTGGCCCAGTTCTGTTGTGGTGTGTCCATTCTACTGCAGGCCAATGTATACTGAACTCTTAGAGTTGCATAAAATGCTCATTGAAATCAGTGACATTCTTTCCATTGATTTCACTTGGCTTTGGAGCAGGTCCACAGGGTGCCTGTACACATGCCAGGAGGCTGCTCCGATGCACTGTAATTACAGCACATCAGAGCAGACTCAATTAACTGAGCCTGCTGGAGCATGCTAATTAGTGTGCTTCAGCCAGCCTCCATGTCTCATGTATCAGTGTCCCCATGCTTCAAAATAGCAGCAGGGGTGCTTTAACTGAAGTTTGTTCAACAAGCTTGAGATGAAGTTCCCTCACCACCAATTTGAAGTGCAGGAACACTGATACATGAGATGCTCTGGGCACTCTAATTAAAGTGGCTCTCAGAGGCTTGCTATGGTGTAGTTTGGGAGGTAGTTCTTTATCATGGTATCATGTTTAAAGTCTTTTTGTTTTCCAATCTCCCTACTGTGGAAAGTTTGCTCTGTGGTTTTTACCATGAGCTGCTTAGTTGGGGCTTTGGCCTGGGATGTTTGGTTTTAATCTTCCTGGGTTAAAGGAGTAGTCTTGGCTATAAGGACAGGGCTGATACTTGTTTTTGTCACCATGTTCTTTTTCATTTCAGCCTCTCTGGGAATCAGCTCGGCAATGAGGGGCTGAGATGCCTCCTGGCTCACTTGCCCCAGATGCATGTTTCCCACTTAATGAAGTAAGACAGCATATGTTTAGTCTGAGGACTCTTGACTGCTTTTTCTTTGGTATAAAAAAACATCATAGAACAGAGGGTTCTGGGGGAGAAGAGAGGGGGGTTCATCTACTTGGATCAGTAGATGATCAGGAGGGACTAATTACCCTCTTGTCCAGTCTCATCACCAAAGCCAGAGTCAGTGGGCTTCAGGGACTAAACCACTTAGATCCTTTGTTATAGTACCTCCAAGTCAGGATTGAGCCAACAAAGCCAGTGTGAAACCTGTCTCTTGGCTTCAATGGAAGTTGCGTCTCTCGCTCAGAAGAGCACCATGGCATGAAGTTATTCTTTAATCTGTAACTTGTCTGTAAATAAACAGAGAATTCTAGTCTCCAAGGCTTCCTTCCAACCCTTTTTAGCTGTAGCCGGATTCTTTCAGTGAGAGCTATTATTTTGGAGATGCTTCCTAGAAGGAGCACCCCACCTACTGACACAAATCAAGGCACAAGAGGAGCTACCTTGAATGCATGAGATTTCCAATCATGTAGGAGTTCTCCCAGTGCATTACAGGAAGGACCCACCCCCACCGCCCACATAGTGATAATGGGGATTACACCCAAACATTAAAAGGGAAATTCACCTTGCAGTATCTCTATGGAATTGAAAACTTTGATGGTCTCTTATCAGGTATACATTGGACTGGGATGTCAGCAAAAGGCTCTGAGCTTGTCTATGCCAACACAGTAGTGTGTCTTGGAGAACACAGGGTTGAACACATCCCCTGCCTCCCCCGAACTCAGGTTCCCCCAGGTGCTCCAGAGGTAGAAGTTTGTCAGTGAAGCTGTCCAGTCATCACTATCATCCACCCTCCAGCTCTCACCCACAGGCCTGAGAAGCAGGCTTTGTGGGTGAACCCAGAAGAACCTATGTATAGAGCTTCAGGTTCTGGGCCATGTCAGTAGACTTGGGGGGTCAAAGAGTGGGCAGGGCATGCTCAGCAGCAAGATGCACTGCTGTCAGTGTAGATGAGCCTTTTTAGGCTATCATGTCAGATTGTATGAAAATGTAAACAGAGCTGTAACTGAGTCCTCTAACATAGTAAGAATCACTGTGTTCTTTTATTATAGCCTCAGCCATAACAACATTTCCCAACATGGAGTTATGCATCTGATTAATGCTCTCACCACCAGCAGAAATGTATTTGAAGTTCAAGTCAGGTATGTTTTCTTGACTTTTCCATTGACATTTCCCACTTTAATTATCCTATAATCAGTGTATGAACTGTGAGGTCCCAGGTGTTGAGTGCAAGGGTTAAATTTTCATTTGATATATGTTTTTCATGAATGCAAAATGTTTACAGGCATCCTTTCCTATTGGTCAAATGCACATTTGCACGTGCAAATGTAGAAGTTAGCCACATAGTAACCTTATTCTGTAGAGGCAAATCTGGGTAATGTACATGGAAAGACAGATGATGCGTGCAGTTCAGCCTCCATTCTCTAAAAATTTGGTGCTTATTCACTTCAATATTTTCTGTGTTCAGTGCGATGTTGCCTAAACTCATCATTTGTCTCTCTTTATGTCTCAAACTGTAGTCTGAGACAATACTGGCAAAGCCTAATTCTGCCTAATGGTTAAAGTTGCTCAGCGGATCCTTACTGCTTATTACTGTTTAGTTTTCACTTGGAAAATCTGGTTCACTTTGAACCAAATTCCCCCCCTCGTCATTTTCATGCATGATCATGGTAAATGCAAATACAAATCACAACACACTTGCAAGCATATTTTTCACATGCAGTTGTGTCACCTAAATACAACACACGGCAATATTGTGTAAAGATACCCAAGACAGCTTAGGTACAGGAAAGTGTATACTTGTGTTTATGTAGTACTACACTAAAGCCAAATTATCCTGCTGAGAAGCTGACTCTGTCAGAGCCAGAGATACTGCATGGTCTATGATAAACATAGCCCTTAACATTTGGCCCAGCGCACTACAGACTTGTTCCCATGTTATTGTTAAAAGCTAAACTCATGTAGCCTTCTCTGTGCAGTTTGTGTGCTGAGGAGACATCACTCATCAAGTTCACAAGAGAAGATGAACCAAAGAAGATTCTAAGGTAATTGTGTGAATAATTTTACCAGTAATTTGTTTCAATCCCCTCTAAAAGGATAAAGTCGTCTTTCCTCAGTAAAGAAGAATGAAAAATATCTCTTCACATAAAATAAGGTCAAAGTTCCATCTGAGTCTAAATGGCTTATCAGGCTAGTGGAAAGAGGTAGCTACCCATGTTAGTCTGACATTGGGCAGAAGGCAGGGTAGAGATGCACCCTACAGACTAACTAAATCAGAGATGCATAAGCTTTCATGAGCCAGAGCTCATTTCATCAGATGCTACAAAGGAATATACACAGAGCAGGCTATCAAACATTTGTCCCTATGAGTTTATTACTTGATTGCCTCTCTCAGCATTGCCCCCTTCCTCCCTCTCTTCTGTGTTCTTTGTATTCAAATCACTCTCCCCATTTGATAGCCAGCTCTGTACATGTCCTTTCATAGCATCTGATAAAGTGAGCTCTGGCTCTCCATAGTTTATGCATCTCTAATTTAATTAGTCTGTCAGGCTGGTAGAGTTATGCAACGGCACATAAGGGAGTGAGGTAGCTAACATCACATGCAGCTGCCTTCTTTGACTCCCTAGTTCAAAGGCCCCAGAAGACATTTAGATCTGGGTAAAATATGGGGGAGTATCTACATGTGCATTAATGTGCTTTAGTTAATGCTTATTAAATTAAGTACCTCCATTGTGAGGTACTAGGAAAATGCTCATTAGCCGGTCTTAATGCACACTAACTAAAGTGCGTGCTTTTTAAGGGGCACTTAAGGTGCATTAGTTTATTTTAATGTGCATTAACCAAAAAGCACATTTTTACGTGATGCTTTAATGTGCATTAAAATAGGCTAATGCACATTAAAGCACACATGTAGACACACCTAGGACAACTTTTAGGACAAGCTCACAATGGGATTCAAACTCATGCCTCTGAAGCTGAAATGAGATACCTTAACTGTGCTGCCACTGCATCCCTTTTCTGGATGGTAAGGGGAGGGGATTACATAACACCCATAACAAATAGTACATTTCCTTCTTTTATCCTTGCAACAATAGTCCCTTCAAGTGAGAGGGCAAGAAAATCCAGGCATACTGTACTTCTTCTGTAGCTCTGATCACCAGCTTATTGTAATTTGTTATCCCATCAGTCTCCCTTAAATGCAGCTGAACTACACCTTGTTGTCTGGCTCTTTTAACTCTAAATCATCCACTATTATCCCTGTGGCCTGCGTTACAGGGGAGACTGTTGTGGAAGATCAGTATTAGTGCCTGATAAAGCCCTCACTAAGCTGCATATCAAAGAACTCTTAAAATTTCACTAACAACATCTTTCTGGGAAGCTTACAGAGTTGGTGGCACTTAAATGTGGTTGTTCCTTTAGTTTAGTTGAAAGTGCAGTGATGTCTGCAGTTTCTGGGTCAGACAACCTAATTACTCATAAGGGACTTATAAACTTTTCTTCTTTCTTTCAGACTAACAAAGTGTAACTTTCAGCAAGAACACTCCTTACAGCTGTGTTCGCTCTTGGAAAAGTGCAACTATCTGACAGAATACATGTGAGTTAGACACAGTTGAGAAAGCTGATTGGCATAGCTTGACCTTGGGCAAAGAGTATTTAGTTATTGTTTGCCTTTCTTAAAATAATATTTAATTGCAATGATCTTTGATTCTAGATCAGCAAAAAACAGCATGACAATGAGTGCTGTGGAAAATCTCTTGCGAGCTCTGAGGAAAAGTTTGGGTATGCTGAGAATAAGGTACAGAATCTCTGTTAAGTTTGTGAATAAATTCCAGTTTGGTTCTGATAGCCTGAGGTCCAAAAAACATCCAGTCTTATGAATTTAAGGGGGTCATGCTTCATCTGGGCCTGGCTGACATATCTCCAGGGAAAATATAGACATTGAAGACAGAGTTGTTGGGACTTAGTATCCTGGCACATTCCTTCTGGAGTGTTGTTTTAGTCTCTAGCTTGGCATTAGGGTTGCTGTACTATATGAAGTGTCATTTTTCAAGATACAAGGAAAACAGTGGCCATGGCCTCTTGTGGTTCTTTAAAATCTCATGGTAGTTGCCTTAAGAGGAACTTAAGGACTTCAGTGTCTGAGCAAATTGAGACTTCTTGCCCTTGGGGCAGGGGGCTGGACTTGATGATCTCCCTTGATGATCTCCCTTCCAGCTTTAATGTCTATGAAATCTATGAAATTATTCTAACTTCAGTGTCTTAACAAACTTCTTCAAGTTCATTAACCCTGTGATATTTCACCCAGATAATTCATTCTTTACTTCCTATCTCAGACTGCATAGGTGCTGCTACCTTCTACCTAGTGGCAGTGTGTGACCATTTAGTGCAGTGGTGCTCAACCTTTTTGGCCAGCAGCTGCATAGGCAGTGCTGAGGCCATCTGAGAGCCAGATTCAGCTGATAGTCCCAATCTAGCATGGGGTGGTTGTGATAGGGCCCCATCTAGCCACACAGAGCGGGGCAGGAGGCATCCAAGCCCCAACTTGGCCATGTGGGGGGAAGGGGTCTTGACCTGGACCCGTGGGGTGGGAATAAGGGGGCTTGACTTGGCCCTAACCCAACCCTGGATGAGGCATGGTCCAGCCTCATCCAGCCTCAGGGGATGGGCATGGCCTTGGTTTACCCAGCAGCAGGGGTGTGGGGAGGAGAGCGACCTGGCCCCAACCTGCTATGTAGGGCTCAGGGTTTGCGAATTCAGCAGTGGGAGAGGATGGCTTGAAGCTTTGTCACTGCTTTTCTACTGTCATGCAGAGGTGACAGCATTTCACTGAGAAACAAAGGGCACCTTCTGGCTATCTACACGCATGCTGGGGCGGGGGCGGAGCATTTTAATTAAAGTGGTTCCCAGAGAGACGATCTAATTAAAACACCTCATCATCACCTCTATTAAGCCCCTGCATATTTAAGAATAGCCACAGGATGCTTTAGTTAAACATCATTCCATGAGGTTTAGCTAAAGTGCCCCAGCGGCCTTTTTAAAATGCACAGAAAGTTAATAGACATGATGATGAGGCAATGCTAGAGCATTTTAATTAGAACGTGGAGTCTAGTTAAAACGTGAATGAGCACATGTATAGGCAGCCTCTGTGTCTAGTTAGCTGAGTGCTAGGTGTTATTCAAATATGCGTGGACATGTTCTTATTCAAATACAGCATGGAGAGGGGCACATTTTAGATAAACCACGCTGACCAAATAAAATAAAGCTGCCTTTATTTTGGATTGCAGCATAGATGAACCATGGGTATGTGACAAAGATCTCCTCACCCTTCTGGAGCTGGCTGTCCAAGTGCAGGGGAACATTATAGAGATCACGTAAGTTGCACCTAAATAGCTGCTGTTTTAGTTCCTGTTTTAAAAATAGAAATTAGCCTGCATTTAGAAATTGGCTTATTTTTATTTGCATTGCATGTCATACATTCTGTGTTCTCTGCTCTGGAAAGTATACTTAGATATAATAGATTTGGGACAAGTTGTACAGGGCACCAAAAATGCCTGGTCTGATGACATCATTATCTTTACATTCTCCTAGGATCCTGAAGGACAAAGGACTCTTCAAAGTGGGTGAAGAATTTCCTTATCGAATGGAGAAAATGGAGGACGTTGTTAGCAGGTGGGGATATACATCTTGTGGTTTTTTTTCTTGCTGGTGGCACATCATAAGATAAAAGAACTCATTAACCCTGCTGTGGTATGATGAATAACCAGGAGCTCTAAATAGAGTAAGCCTTGAAGCCTGGTTGATGCTGACTTCCACCTAAGTGTTTGCTCTGTGCACCCCTGGGGTTGGGGAAGGACATATTCCCCTCAATAATGCCCTTTCATTTGACCATAGTGTGGACAAGGAGGCCAGGAGGGAGCAGGCTGCACCCTCCCCATTCAACAGAGAGCCTGGAGAGAGGTTTTGCATAGGTCTGGCCCCCAAGCCAGCTATACAGGGTCTAAAGCAAGGTTCCCTCTAAGGTGCGCGCATGTGCAGCTGCGCACAACTAAATTTGTGGCCGTGCACAGCCTTTTCAAGGCCGCGCACCAGGAGAGGCTGGGGCAGGAGCCTGGCGCAGGCTCCACTGGCTCCGGGGAAGTGCTCCGTTCCCCCACATCAGGGCCGGGGAGTGGAGCAGTTCCCCAAAGCCAGCGGAGCCTGTGCCAGCCCCCCGCCCCAGCCTCCATCCCTGCCCGCCCCCCCGCGGGGGGGGCGCCCGCTGCCTGCCCCGAGTGAGGCTCCGCCGGCTCCAGGACACTGCTCCTCTCCCCTGCATTGCCTCAGGGAGCGAGGAGGTACGTGGTGTCAGGGCCGGGGAGCAGAGCACCTGGCGCGGGTGGCTGGCGCGGGCTCCGCCGACTCTGGGGAAGTGCTCCACTCCCTGGCCCTGATGCGGGGGAGCGGAGCACTTCCCCAGAGCTAGGGAGCCCGCGCCAGGCTCCGGCTCCAGCCTCTGGTCCCCGGCCCCAGCCCCTGGTCCCTGGCTCCTGCCACTGACCCCTGGCTCCAGCTCCCTGCCCCTGGCCCCAGCCCCAGCCTCCAGCCACCAGCCCCCGACTTCAGCCCCTGGCCCCCAGCTCTGGCCTCCGGCCCCTGGCCCCAGCCTCCGGCCCCTGGCCCCAGCTCCAGCCTCCGGCCCCTGGTCCCAGCCCCCAACCTCCGGCTCCCAGTCCTCAGCCCCCTTCGGTAAGTGTCCCACGCCAGACTGAGATGGCACGCTCAATGGACCAAGGTGGCGCGCTCACAGAACGCTGCTCCTTAGAGGGAATATTGGTCTAAAGGCCATTGGGATGCTGCAGCCTAAAAGGCTAGCTGTAAATGTGAGTCTGGACTTTCATTTACAGAGATCATTCATGTTTGTGTTCATGTTTGCCTTTTTCAGGCTGAATCAGTGTGAGCTGGAAGCCAAGCACCTTCACTTTCTCCAAAGGGTTATTGAGAAATGTACCCAGCTTCAGGAACTGAGGTGAGTTCCCCCCATGCCATAACAATTCCCCTTGGGAAGGCAACCATTTACTGCCTTTGCCATGAAGAGAGAATAGTGCTTCTCTGCACCTGGGCTGACGTCATTGCCACAAGATGTTGGGGTTGATTATTTAAACCAAGCTTAAAAGTGGATTGGATAAGTTCATGGAAGACAGGCCCATGTGTGGATATTAAACATAATAGGGGTGCAGCCTCCAAATTAGGCCTTCCTAAGCTGCTGAATGCTGGAAGCTATAGGGGGAGAGGGGCTGGGGAGGGATATGTCTTGTTACCAGATTTGCCCATTACTTTGGGGTGTGCTCATACATTAGGGATAGTTTCTAGGGTCTTGGTAATTCTGTGAATGTGCTGCTTGTGTTACTATACGGAGCTGTATCTCTCCCCTCTGCAAGCCCTCACCCCCAATGGAGCTATCTTGCAGGACTCAATCTTAATGGGGCTGGGTTCCTCCAGTCACCAAATCAGTCATACACACAAACACACACAAATTAATGTGACACGCCTGACCCGGCCGGGTTGATCAGCATGGACAGGCTGACACCTTCATATGCCAAGAATCAGTTCATAAGAGCAACAATAAAATGCAGTCAGACACAAGCACACAGGTAAACAGAATCCCTCTGAATCCAGCTGGGTGTCCAGCTGACACCCTCATGGGCCAGCATTCAGTTCATAAGGGCACGTCTGAGTCAAACTGGGTCAATCAACCTGTACAAGCTGATCCCCTTATGTGTTTCAAACTCAGCACGTCCCAATCTTTGGCCTCTTGATGAGCAGACCCCACAATATTTTTGGGCTTCACAGGGATCTTTAGCTTAGGTAAAAGAAGCGTTGCTGTAGAGCACAGAAGGAAAGAGAAGCAGAGAAGGAAAAATATACCCAATTACTACCAGTTTGACTATAAAAGTTATTTATTGCTAAGCATATGAAATATATAATAGTACTAGTAGTAATAGACATGCAAAAGAAAAACAAACACCAACAATGACAATACTACCCTGGTTTCACTAAGTATTTGGGGAAACTTAGCTCAAGCTTAACTGATACAGTTCAGGTTCAGAAGTTTATGCCTAGAAAGAAGACAGAGAACGCTGGGATCTCACCTAGTCCACGGTACTCAGGCTGCAAAGCTGACAGGCACAGTCCATAGCACAATCCTTGAAGAGAGAGATGATCTGTTCTTCCAGCATCCCAAGAACAACAGGGGATGGTGTCAGCACAGGAGTTTCCTTCCTTCCTTCCTTCCTTCCGCTTGGACGCACCAGATACTTGGGAGCCAGCTTGAAATTCCTATGGGTGGCAGATATACTGATGGGATATCTCATGGTTTCTTCAGAAACAATAGATAGCTTACAGCATCAGGATTTTGGATTTTTACTTGCTGTGAACAAGCCTCTGCTTCGCATGACTTTTCCAGATCTTACTATAGTCTTTTAACAGACTTAAAGCAATTATTGGGGTGCTTATAACCTTTTGTGGAGAGGACTCCCACCAGTCGTCTCGGGAAAAGTATGACAACACCTGTGATTAGGGCTCCAATGGGCTGGATGCTGTGATGAACCCTTAACCATTGTTCACATGTTTCCCATACCCCCTCTGACTCGGTCTCTTGCCTCAGCATTCCCTAACCCGGCAACCGAGTCTTTAGTCAATCAAGTTTAAATAGGCCTCCCATAGTGGGACCGGGGAATGTACGGCCCGAGATGCCTATAGGCCTTGCCCGAGCTCCGGCCAGGGCACCGGGCACGGGGCACGAGCCTATAGGCTGTGCCACACACAGCTCTAAACTTAGAGCTGTGTGTGTGTGTCTGGGGGGGGAAAAGTCCTTAGTAAATCCAGATTAGAACTGGTCTGATAAATGCTGAGCTGGGCGTGTGTGAACATGGGTTGATTAACATTTGGAGCACAGATTCCCCATCATGCAGTGCTCCCCTGCTTCTCTGGTCCCAGAATTCACTGCAGTCTCTGCTTCAGGCTTTCTGTTCTCCATCTCTCATGTAAATGAATGGTCATCTGGTTCCATCTCAGATGCAAATGAGACCTAGGGCAGTTGTTTCACTCTTGTCACCCTTATCTGGAGGGTCTTAGGTGTGTCTCTCACTGCATCTTAATCAGTCTCGTTTATGTAGAGCAGGGGAGGGAGTGGGGGTGAGTCCTTGTGAGTCAGACAGACTGCATCCTGTGCCAGGGTTGCCCAAGAACACAGAGCTGAGGCGTAACAGTCTGGACAGGCCACGCATATGCACTCTTCCTCTTAGTATCCAGTCTTTGCCACTGAGAGGCAGGAGAGTGGGTTGAATGGACTTGTGGTCTGACCCAGTCTGGCATGTCTTATGTTGTCATGACCAGTAGAAATGAGGAATTAGATAGTCTTATCAGCAGTGGTTAAACACTTTTTCCTTGATGTACACACACTGCCCAACTCCAGTGAAGTCCATGGAAGTTGCAGAGGTAATATTTTGACTTCAGGGCCCCTGATAGACATTCACTGTAAGACATGATGGGATCTAATCTGCAATCCCAACAGTTGTGCTTCCTGCCATGCCACCCGTGTATGGCAGGACTTGGGATCAGGGATTAGGTCCCAATAATGTCTTACTGGCTGGTACAAGAGTAGCCTGGGCTCATGAGTCTGGGATCCCCCTGCAGCAGCAAGATGAAACTGGGGTGCTTACAGCCAGCTGATTATCAATTGGGGCCAGGAACCAAACCAGTCCCCAGCCCCAGCTGACAGTCAACTGATCATTAAAACTGCAGCTGCAGGGCACAGGGAATCTGGGTTTGGGCTGCTGCAGCCTGATCCCAGGGTCCCTGTGCTCTAGGGATGAGTAAAAACCTATATGCCACTCAGCTGGGCAGCACACATGGTTTTATTTCTTCCACCACACAGGGATCCTGGCATCGGGCTGCAGCAGCCCAATCCCCAGATCTCCCTGCAGTGGGACCTACAAAACCACGTGTCCAGTTGGACAGCACACAAAGTTCTGACAGGCCCCAGGGCATGAGTGGCCACATACACAATTTAAGGCACGATACAAAAGAGCCTCAAAGTTATTCCACATTATATATGAAATAATCCTGTGACTCATTTACTCTATTATCACACTTTACTTACACATGTGGCTGGTCACTGTTGAAGGCAGGGATGGGCAATTATTTGGGCCCAAGAGCCACATGGGGAGTTTTGATGAGCTGTCATGTGCCAGGTGAGCACACGTCACTCTCCCAGCGCAACAATTCACCAAAACTCCCTATGGGGCTGCCAGTAGGTGGGGAGCAGTGTTCAGGAGTGTGATGGGCAGGCAAAGCTGGGATCATGAAGTTGAGTCTCAGGGCAAAGACATCTCCGAGCTGGGGCTGCTCCCTACTTGGCTCTGCCCTCTTGGGGGGGTGGGGGGGAGGGTGTTGTGGGGTGT